AGGACTAGATCAGAGGTGGGGGGGGGGAGGGAAGGGGAAGGTTTGTGGTGGTGTTCCAAAAACGACACAAAAAGTTACGAGAGAGAGAGAGAGAGAGAGAGAGAGAGAAAGAAACACCACAGATGCGCGATGGGAAGCCCAGCTTACCTCAAGGAAGGCTTTGTGGAAGGCATCAGAGACATACAGGTCTGTACGGCCCTCTGTAACGATACCTAAAAAACCCCCAACAAGCTGTAAGCAAACTGGGATCTTCAAGAACAGCTTTTTGAGAAGACAACACCCCAGGGATAAAGCATTTGGCTCTCACACCAGAGATAGTGAAACTGGCGTGCCAATTCTCTTCCAGAATATGACCTGAGGAAGTGGGTCTGGCCCACGAGCTATTAAACCATCTTGTGGATTTTGTGACCCGGACACTGGTGTATTGATGAGTGGCGAGGCTGCCCCAGGACGCCCCCCGCCCCTGCTTCGTTCCATTTCCTGGAGCCAACTCTTGGTGTGGGAGCCCGCCAGGACTGACCTGGCAGCTTGGCGAGATCAGGGTCGAAGAGATCCACCAGCCCCATGTGCCGCAGCTTCTCCTTCAGGCTGAAGTTGTCTTCGATGCGGAAGCGGGGGAGGTAGACGGAGAGCGAGATCTCCTTCATCGAGCTCAGCCAGTCCTGCAGCCGCTCTGGGTTCAGGTCCCGCTCCACCGCCCCCAGGGACTTGCCCTTGTTGGGCAGGATGAGAACCATGGTGATGTCATCCCCTTTGTAAGGCAGCTCCACCACCTGCACATGGTCGCTGGGGACGGAGACGTGGCGGAACTTGGCCTCCTGGTACATCATGGGGGTTGTACAGACCTCACCGTCGCTTCTGTAGAACTTATCCATTTTGGTGTTCACAGTTGGGAACTGTGACTTCCAGTGCCCCTGGGGGATTGACACAATCAGCCACAGCTCACACAGAGAATCCCAGCCCTACCGCCCGCTGAGTCACGAGACGGGGCAGAGGGCTGCATTTCTCTGCCCTTTCAAAAGGGACGCTCTCCGGATCATAGAGTATTAGAACCGGAAGGGACCTCCAGAGGTCAAGTCCAGTCCCTGCCCTCACAGCAGGCCCAAGCACTGTCTAGTTCAGTGTTTCCCAATTTTATTTGGCCACTGAACCCTTTTCACGCGAAAGAATTTTGCGGAATCCCTAATAACAGTCTTATATATGGAGCTGAAGAAGGAGACCACAAGAAAGTAAGGATAATAATAAACAAATGCTAAACAAAGTCATGATAGGTAGATTAATCTATCATGGTCAATTTGTGTGTGTCATGGTTACATTTTTAAACACAAGAAATCACACGACTATACCGAAGTAAGGTACTCGCGCGAGCATTGCCTGCGCACGTCCATACAAGCAACTGGTCTGACAGCTGGAGCTTCTACTTTGTCCGATGCAGCGCTAGTCTATTCGCATTCAGTCTCCCACATGATCCAAGCTCCCCGAGAGCAAGTCCGGGGATTTACGGGGGCATAGAACAGGCAATCGCACCACCGCGCGTGCAGTGTTGAGTAGTGACATCATCGTCCCCACTCTCTGGCTAAGCCGGCATTACACAGGGACACTTATCGTGGCAAATACAAATGAAAATGGTTTTCAATAAAATTCATAAATGCTTAAATATTATTTTTTTTTTTTAAATCATAAAATGTTCTTGTAATGGAACTTTCTCGCAGACCCCTTCTTTTCACTTCACAGGGTTCTGCAGGACACCACTTGGGAAACATTGATCTAGATCAACCCTGAGAGGTGTCCCTCCAACCTAGTCTTCAAAATCTCCAGTGATGGCATTCCACAACCTCCCTGGCTTCCCATCTGTGGCTAGCAGCACCTCCCATTCTCCGTGCAGGGAAAGCCAGGAGCGGGGTCAGCTGGGCTGTTGCAAAACTTCTGTGAGGATTTCTCTTTTCAGGAGCAAACAAATCAAAGTTCTATGGAACCTGAACTCCCCAAAGTTTTGAGGTCGAAGGGGACTGACAACTGGAGACAGAGCAGGGGACGGGACTGGATGACCTCTTGAGGTCCCTTCCAGTTCTAGGATCTTAAGGAGCTGGTTCCCCGCAGTTGCGATGAATAGCACTTTGCAATTCTGTCATGAACAGCATGAGAGGTAGCCTCACAACCAACCCCTCCAAATGGTGGGGTATTTTCTGGGATGCAGAATTTGGAGCTGGATTCAGTATCAGACCCTGGCCATGGCTTAGGGGGGTTTGTGTATGGGATTGTGGCACAAAGAGTGGCCAGGCAAGGAATTCTGATCTGGATTCTAGATTCCAGACTACACCTACACCGCCCCCAGGGGTGAGGAGGTGTAGGGTTCTGGTTTGGGGAGGTAGGTTTGGGTTATCACAGACTCCCCCATCAATCCCCACAGGCTGACAGGTCTGAGCCAGTCTGTGCCTGGGTTAGGAGAATGATACCGACGTCTCGTCATTTCCCTAGGGGCGTTGGCTGTACCTTAAAGTAAATGGTGTTGACCAGCACCAGCACAGTGAGCGGGTCAATGGCTCCCTCGGGGATCACGTCAGTGATGCGCTTCTCTGTTTTATTGGACACCCACTCGTTAATTAGAGCCCGCGACTGCTCTGGCTTTTCCTGGAGGAAGAGACCAAAACAAAAATAAGTGACATGGGGATTTTCAGCACCCCCCTTGTCTCGCTCTGTAGGAAGCCGCCGCTGCCAAGTGGCGGAAACGTTTCTGGTGCAGACCTGTATTCTGCGAACCGTGTGCAGTAAATTGGGTCGGTAGCAAAACTGTGCTGCCCCCAAGTACACTCAGTCACAGGCCTCCTGGGTCGCAGCGCCCACCCTGACAAGCCAGCATAAGGAATAGGAAAGGGGTAGAAAGCAAAGTGCTTTAGACTCACTTGGAAGTTCAAGGGCCAGAGTTTGGCTCCGTAAACCACTTCACTGATGTTCTGGTAGGTCTCGTTGAAGGTCAGAGACTTCTCCCCAAAGAGCCGGTTGGCCGACACTAGCTCGGAGGACTTGTTGGCCTTTTTATAGAGCCGGCAGTTCAGCTTGGCGAAGAAGAAGTGGATCTGATCAGAGGTCTTCTCTGAAATGCTGTCAAACCGGAACACCTAGGGAAGCAAGGAGTGAGAGAAGGAGTCCTAGACCAGACACCCCATTTCCTGCAGCCACAGGCTAATGGGACCGGCTGATTATCCGACACTAGCTCGGAGGACTTGTTGGCCTTTTTATAGAGCCGGCAGTTCAGCTTGGCGAAGAAGAAGTGGATCTGATCAGAGGTCTTCTCTGAAATGCTGTCAAACCGGAACACCTAGGGAAGCAAGGAGTGAGAGAAGGAGTCCTAGACCAGACACCCCATTTCCTGCAGCCACAGGCTAATGGGACCGGCTGATTATCTCCCTCCGGACTTGGGGAGAGTGCTTGGTTTGTTTGGCTTTATTCACATGGAAGCAGAGATAGGACGGAGCCAATTGACTCGACCAAGCCTGTAAATGTGCGGAGTTTAGAGACGTGCACAAACTCTGCACCTAAGCCTCTCTCTACCGTCTTCTAAGCCTCCGACCTCTCAGTTTTTGTTTACCACCTGTCCTCCGCCCCCTTTCAGGGAGCAGATGAAGCCCTTACGGCTGCTGCACTTGGAATCAGGAGACTTGGATTCCCTGAAATCCTGGGCAACTGGAAAACCCACGTTCAGTTCCCAGCTCTGCTGTGCGACCTTGGGCAAACCACAAAAGACTTGTTTAATATCAGTGCCGTTACACCACCACTATAGGACCCATGGGGATGTGCTTAATCAGGAATAAGCATCCAAATGGGGCATTACACAAGTACAAATTGAACCTCTCTAGTCCGGTACTCTCCAGTCTAGCAACATCCGTGGTCCGGCATGATTTGAGTGAGCCGGATGTCCACTTTTCATGGGTGTGGCCAAGTTTCCCGTGGTCCCATGAAGTTTGTTTACAGCCACCAGGCCTGGCTCTCAGGGTTCTGTGCTGTTGTTTAACTCTAAAGTACCCCTCAATGTCTCTGAAGAGCCCAGGAAGTAGTTCCATAATGCTGGGCCTCCCATGGTCCGGCAAAGTCTTTGGTCTGTTCCCAAAGGTGCCGGACAAGAGAGGCTATAAAATTTTGTGCATAAAGTTTCACAACTCCTTGCTTTGCCCTACTATAACTTTCCCAGGCACAGCTCTCGCCTCAGTGCCCCTCTTGAAAGGGATGGCGGCACTTCCCTACCTCCTAGTGCTGTTGGGAGGCTAAAGGCATTAAGGATGGCGGGATATTCAGTTACAGCCACCTTAGCCAGACTGATGATGGCTAGAGAGGAAGCTGGTGTCAGCAGAAGGAGCAGCACACCCGGCTCCCACTCCTGTGCCCAGAGCACCCCTCACCAGGTTAGTCCGAGCGGAGCAGAAGCAAAGTGAATGACACTAGAATCCCAAATACAATTGGGGCTCGCCCACTCCGCCCTGCGGGCAATGGATGGAGCTGGTTTCTGGAGCTGTCGCTTTGCTAAAGCCCCTCAATCATCTACTCAGCCTTTGCCCTGCTGCAGTAACCACGGCTTGGAGATCTAATGCCAAACAGAAATGGGCACAAGCCATTGATGGTCTCGGCAGCAATCCTCTCTCCTGGCTTCTGTCCCAGGCATGCGATGAAGGAGCTCCCTGGAAACTAACTCTGCCTTGGCCACAGGAGACTCTCAGCACCACACAAGCTATGACCTAGTAACACCGGTCTAAACTCTTGGGCAAACCCGAGAGCCCTGCTCCTCGCTTCGGCCGCTCTCGGCTTCAGCTTTATTTGATCTATTGCCCATCTTTCCAGAGAGACGCTCGTGCAGGTGGAAGCTGCTGCAGTCAGCCTGGGAGACCGAAATCCTGTTTAGCCCTGGAACAGGAAGCAGCAGGGTAACCCTCCCCAGCATTATGGACACATGCCTCAGCGCTGACCCAGGAGGATATGGGGTTACCATGTTTCTGTGAGGTTTCCACAAGGAAGATCTCTCCCTGCGTGTCTAACCTCACCCAACTACACAACTGTCTGGTCCACTCAGAGCCGTCTTTGCTTTCTCCTCCCTGCCCCCAGAAGAGTTTCCCTCTCCTTCACTTGGAGCCAACAGACCCAAACCCAGCAGGGAGCAAGAGTTTACTCCATTGGAGTTACAGGAGTTGGGATTCCCACAAGACCAGGAGAAAACCAGTCCGGAGCTTCCTGCAGCGTTCTCCATAAGGACAGAGATGTCCTGACAAGGGGCTTGTTTAGCCGATGGGTCTCTTCCTCTAAGCAGGGAAACCTCCTGAGGGGAGGATCCCTGGTGGGAGCTTTACCGCTGACGAGAGCTGGCAGCCAGCCTTTAGTGACCTCACTCTAACTTCAGCAGCTAGAAGAGGTTGAGATGGCACCACTCACCTCCATGAGCTGCTGGAGGGTGCTGCCACAAGCACCGAGTTTGGTCATAGCGAAGGCTGTGGAGATGCTGAGGGGCGACATGAAGATGTTTTCGTTGTCATTCTTGGCATCTGCCAGGTGCTTGTAGAATTCCATGGCGAAGCGGGTGTTGGCCTTGGATAACTCCCAGACACGGGGATTAGTCAAGTCTGGGATCTTCTCCTTCTCTTGCTCCTGCCCTAGCCCCTCACTCTCCTTCTCGGGGTTACGGTAAATGCACATGGGATTCACCGGGATGTCCTTTGGCTTTGCAGTGCAGATATCCACCACGTGGTGATGAGCAGACGCTGCACCCCACAGGCCTAGGATCAGCCACACGAACAGATGCATCCTCCTGCAACCAGAAAGAGACGTTACAATCTGGCTGGAAGCCCTGCAGGAACCATCCCTCCGAATGGGCTCTCAGACAGAACAGCCCCTGCCTCAGCCTCCTCTCCAAACTCACTGGCCCCTCTGGCATCTTCGTATAGAAATCGGTCCATGCCTCTCCACATGTTCCCTGTCCTTAGTGGGACACAAGCGCCACACTCCGTCCCAGCTCTACTTTATGTTACTGAAAGTTATCGACATGGGAAATACCAAGTCAGAAGAGAGAGGACAAGAATATGGTCTTTTAGAGGGGGAGTTCTGCAAGGTGCTGAGCAGTGGTGCTGTGGTTGTTTGAGGATCTAATGCAGTTCACATTCATTAACACCCACTGTGCCCCCGCGCAGCAAGTCGCTGGTACTGAAAGGCAAGTCAGGCCAAGCAAGAAAGGGGCTATTTTCACAATGCCACAATATGGCACAGGTTAGCCAAGTAACTATCACAGACTGATGGTCATCTCTCTGCTGTAAGCAGGGATTTTAAATCCCACTTTCTATTTGGCTCTGATCAGTAGAGCTCTGCACGGATACAGCTTGTTGTACCTGCATCTGCAAAAGCGAGCTAAGTCTATCCCACATCCACAGATGTGATCTGTGGACAGAAAGCGGATATCCACCAATCTGCAGGGTTTTAGATACAAAATAGGCATCTGCAAAAATGAACCAGATATCTGCAGCCACATTTACGGATGCGGATACCTGTGGGTATCTGCGGGTTTGCAGGGGTCTACTGTTCAGCAACAGCAGAGCACCCCTAGCGTAGGTCTGGGGAGGAACACACAACATTAGCAGACCTATATCTAAGGCTTCTGTCACCATCTGCATTGCTTAACATTGGGTATGTGAAGCATGGCTGAACATTGGGGCAGTTCAGATATCCCATGCACTGAAAGCACACAGACCATGTTCTCCTCTGGCTTGAAGAGGTAAGGAATGGAGACTTGGCTACTCACCCAGCACTCAACACTCCACGGAGAGCCTTTGCAAAGAGATGGCTCTAGCTATCTTTGGCTTTCCCTTGTAACCAAGCATTGCTTCCCGCACGGCTAGGTTCAAGCGGGGATGCGTTTATCTGGAGTGAATTCCAGAGTTATCCTTGTAACCAAGCATTGCTTCCCGCACAGCTAGGTTCAAGCGGGGATGCATTTATCTGGAGGGAATTCCAGAGTTATGGCCCCACTACCAGAAGAGCACAGCCCCAAGCAGTACAATTTGTACTTAAAGGGATTTAGACACCCTGGCATTCGGAAGGAAAGGTGGTTCTATGACTTATGACACCGGAGAGGTGAGTTCAATTCCTGGCTCAGTCACAAACTCTTGTGCCTCACTTCCTCACCTAGAATGGAGCAAATATTTCCCCCTTCCTCTCCCCCCGCTGCTGTGTCTCGTTTGATTGCTAAACTCTTGTGCCTCACTTCCTCACCTAGAATGGAGCAAATATTTTTCCCCTCCTCTCCCCCCGCTGTTTTGTCTCGTTTGATTGCAAGATCTCCAGTGCCAAAGTCACCTTGTTAGGGGTCTGCACCGTGCTTTGCACAACCAGGCCTTGTCTCGATGACCGTGGGCCATCGACCTAAGTCGCACAACTTCAGCTACACGAGTAATGTAGCTGAAGGCAATGTACTCAGGTCTGCTCACCACAGTATCTTCGCAGCAGTAAGTCCACAGCTGAAGCTCCCCTGTTGACTCCACTCACTCTCCTTGTTTTAGTGGAGTGCCAAAGTCCACAGGAGAGCGCTCGGACAGTGGTTTATCACATCGCTGCCCCTCGATCCAGAGGGCAGGGAAGACATGCCCTGAGGCCCTCATCTTGCTGGAGGGTGGAGTCACTTTATTAATGACCTAACAGCTAACAATGCGGTGATGACACACCATACCGAGATACCTGGAAACAGGATGAAGAGCCGCAGACCAATAGCTGGGAAAGCTCCCTGCAGTGCTAGCTTCTGAACATCTTTCCCAACGAGCAAGGGGTCCAGGCAAGACTGAGCTGGGCACATGCCGGATCTCTGCGGTGGACCTGACTAGCCCGAACAGCCCTTGCTTTCCTCACTTTTAGCTGGTGGTTCTTTGCTGTGGAAGGTTATTCTGGGTATTTCAACTGCTCGCCCAGCATTGTATCAGTGTCGGATTTTGCATCATAGCTCCCGTTTCAGGAAGTTGCGAGAAGCAGCAGCAAGCTGCAGGCCACAATTCGGCTCTCTGTCTCACCTGCATGGACAGGGTTATAGGCAGGCCCACAATTCGGCTCTCTGTCTCACCTGCGGGACGGACAGGGTTATAGGCAGGCCTGCTGCTGTCTGACAGCCTAATGCCTGAATAATGTGAAGCTAAAATCTCTTGCAAAGATGTGTGCCTTAATGCTCATCCGCACAGTGCCTAGGCGTTACTTTTTGCAGAACTAGGTGAAAGCTGAGCTGCATTCTTCAGGAGTGAATTCCACAGACCCAAGACAAACCTCACTGAAAGGTGCTCAGAGCATGCATGCAAGCTTGAATACGGCCGAGGTGGTCATGAAGAGATCACGCCTTACTCCGCGAGAAGACGGAGAGTGGTCTTGTTGTGCACACAGAGGGTGGAATTCTAGTCTGGCTGCAGTCAAAGGCTAAACAGTGGTGCCAAGTTATCACCCTTAGATTCAGTAGAAGCAGCATTTCGACTCCTAGCAGGATCACTTCAGACCAGCATACATCAAAAACCATGCAACTTACCTTGAGTAAGTGATGCAGATGAAACATGACACGTGCAAAGAAACCCAGAACAAGTAACTCCACCCCAACTCAGAGATGGCATCTGCCATGCCCCAAGAGCCCTTGTTACTTTTCAGGACAGCATTTGTCCTCGTGATCTTGGCTAAAATGCTCCCCTTCTCCTGCCACTCTTGTGCAAAACGCCATGTGGCGGACACTCCCCAGCCCAGAGGTGGGTGCACATGCATAACTTGTGGAGTGCTTTAGGATCCTTTCAGGAGAGGTGTGCTAGAAACAAACACTGTTGCTGATTCGGAGCACGCCTGGCCACAGAGGGGAAGATTTTTTCCCTTCCTCCTATACTAATGCTGGAGGAGGAGGGTTGGTAGAGAATGGCTCGATCAGCTCAAAATCACCTCTTGCATTGTTGGGGGGAAGTTCAGGCGACAACCTCATCCCCTGGCAGCAGCAGCGGGGTCAGTCAGTGAATCAGTCACTGTCCCCTCCAGCGCTAGCCACGTTTGCTCCACAGCTTGCCTTCTGCACTGCTGTCCCAACCCACCGCCAGCTCCCTGGCGGACACGCGCTCCCTCCACACCATGCTAGAAGCAGCGCCAAGAAAAAAAAAAAAGCAGGATTTGCTCCAAGCGCTTTAATATTAAGGAGTCTAAGCTGCTGCGCTTTTATTTTTTTAAATTCCCAAGAAAAGTTGGTGCCTTCACTGTGGGCCCCCAACCGGAGATAAACAGCATTTTAGAGATGCTGGGGCTTTCCAACCCTCCCTAGCACATGAATTGCTCCCTACCGTACAGTTTCAGAAGTCACGGGTTTGTAGGCATTCTAGTAGGCAGCGCATGATTTAACCAGGATCTCTGGGGAACCTAGACCAAACTCCCCAAAACAGCCCCTCAGCACTACAGTCAGGGAGCCCCAAGCAGTCCTGGTGTGGCTGGAATTTGTAGGTTTCTACGGAGCGGGATGAGTCTGTGAGAAGCCCCGTTAATGAAGATGAAAATGGCATTGGAGGAAAGCAGGACTGGAACCAAGTCCTCTTACCTTGTAGTGGCGTCTCCGACTCCTTGCCTGCAGATTAGGGTAAAATCAGAGACAAAGCTAGTCAATAGTAGCTTCTGCGCTGAATTTCTGCACTCCACCAATGCTCAGTCCCGTCAGGGGAGGAAGAGAGGGAAGAGGTGGGACGTTCAGGGCAGAGGTTGATGACCAACCAGTGGAAGGTTAAGCAAAGAGTTGAACACAGCAATGTTTGATCTGAAAAAGGTTTTAAAGTTCAGACTGACAAGGGAAAGTTTGGTTACCTCTTTTAAGAGACACCCGCCCCCCAATCCTGGGTAACAACCACAGAGAAAGTTTTCCAGAATTCAAAGGAGCGTAGATTTAGAACCTTGGTGGAGAAAGTGGGAGGGATTGGCCTGAGCTAACAACCAAATACAAGTTTGATTTGTATCTTTTCCATTCTGCAACATACTTGGCTGAATCACATTCTTCTGTCTTTTAGAGCTCCCATTACTCAACCGAGGATCCATGATCCTTCTCTACCTCATAAGTGGCACGGATAGACGCAGGGTGCGGATCTAATTCAAGGTCTCAGGTGGAGTTTGCTTTAAAAACGCAGTATCATTCGATTAAAAAAACCCATCAGATCTATTCTATTATGCAATAATCAGTAATGTCGTCACAATAGAGGCAAGTGCAAGAACCACACAGGAAACCCTCCGTTGCAACCCTGCAGGCACGGCCAGCAGGACCCCCCAGGATTACACACAAAACCAAAGTTTTTGAGAAGTGCTGTTTTCATTCCTGACACAGAGCAGTTCTGGTAGAACAGGATCTTTGCCATGCAAGTTACTGAGTAACACTGATTTGGAGGCATTGTTTGAAATGCCTCTCCATGGGAGAAGAGCCATAAAGATAGTGAGCCTTAGCACAGGTCAACTAGAAAGGGGGCTTAAAGGATTATCGGACTATTTTTTGTAAGGTGCTTAGCACTCACATAACCCACAGACTTCAATGGGAGTTGGGGGTTCTTAACACCACTGTGTGGCAGTGGGGAAGAAAGAAAAATCAGATAACTGGTTTCAATTCACCAAATATCATTTGTAGGTCTTTTAACAGAGAACTTGCAGTGTAGCCAAAGGAAGGCATTTGTCATGCCCCCCCACCTTAATTCATTGGGAATATATATATATTTTCCTCCAGGACAAGAAATGTACATTTGCATTCTCATCGAGGAATTAGCCTGTCCTGCAACAATGGGCCAAGAGCCATGCCCAGCGCACCATGAAGTTGACAGTTACCCACTGTGATGGGTATTGGAATGGCACCGCCTCACAAGTTAAGGATGAAGAAGCAGACCTGTGGTATTGGTAATATACACACATACATAGGGCAGCTTATATTGGCAGAGGGTTTACTGTAGTGCAGATTTGGGACCATCTAGCCAAGATATAAGCCTCGCTGCTCCAAAAGTGATTGGACGTTAAAAAAAAAATTTTTTTTTTAAACAGCTTACAGGATTGTTTTAGCAATGGTGGTCCCATTAAATCCCCTTTAATTGGTTAAGGAAGTAAGGGCAGCCCTCCCCCACCATGACCTGGAGCAGCACCTGCTGTCGGGTGCCAAGGCTTGCCACAGACAGGAGCTGCTCCAGATGACCAGAGCAACCCTTCTCCGCAGCAGGTCCACTGTCCGGCAGGAGCAGCCCGACTGCTTGCAGCAGGCAGGAAACTGCTCCAGCCCCCACCAGTTAACCTTAACCAGTAAGCTTCATCCTTAGTAGGTGAGGCTTACCAGTTAACCATTCACATCCCTAGTGCACAGGGCAAGGATCAGTATCTCAGGTTCTTTAAAAAAAAAAAAAAAAAAGAATAGTCTTGCAACATCTTAGAGACTTACAGTGAGAGCTGGGGCTGGGGCCCCTCCCATACACTCACCCGGTGGCTAAGATTCCAAAGATCAGAAATAGTGCTGGTCAGGTCTCCCACCTTCAACTCCAGGGGAGAACAGCCACAGTTCTCACCGGAGAAAATAAGAGGCTTTGCAGAGTCTCCTGCACTACTGCCGGGAAAAGTAGACTGGCCTGCAGTACGTGTCACTCACCTAAGTAGACTGCCTTTTGAAATGCTGCTAGCCTTTGGATGTGCCCACACTTCTGTGCAATGCCTGGGAGTAGCAGGTTGGCACCCGCCACATCCACAAGGGGGCTGCACGAGGCAGTGGAGTGTGCATGCCTCAGTTTCCCCATATCAACACAGTTTTACTCTTGGCAGAGCCATGAACCTATTGTAGGTGGCTCATGTTTCAGGGGACAAAGGGTGTCGGGGTGCTTCTTAGCAGCCTAATAAGGCCTTGACCCCCATGCCGCAGAGGAGAACAAGGCACTGTAGGTTATTCAGGGCGGCTGTAGGAACGGTGGCCACAGTTTGTGGCACAGCGTCAGAGTTTTGCAAGGAAGGAGCTGCAGACAGGGAGACTCCAGGTCCAGAGGCATTCAGCACTTACAGTGGAGGATTTGAATTCAAGCAGCCGCATGATCCAGTCCCATTGTGACAGATTCTCTCAGTTGCTTTGGGAGAGACAAGACCTCTGCCTCAGTTACCTCATCCATAAAATGGGGAGAATAAATGTTCTCTCCAAGGAATAAGGGAGGGGTCAAATAGTATCCGTAAAGTACTTTGACTCAAACTGCTAATCCGCTCACGCAGTCTGAATGTTACAACAGGCTGAGCTCAGACGTGGGAGGGAGCCTTTAATGCACTCAGAAGCACCGACGGCCACACGACGAAGTGTGCACGTGGGATGGGAGGCCACATCGAAGAGGAAAGCAGCATGCACAAAGGGCGGAGTGAGATTTCAGCTACAGGGGCCGCTCTTGCTTCATGCTGAATGGGATCGGGTCAGGCAAGGCAGAATTTTTACTGCAGGCAGGACTTGCTCCACACACTTGATGTTCCCCCGGTCTCAAGAGGTCTACAAGCTGCAACCAGGTGTCAGTTTGCTAGCAACAGCAAGCAGGGGATTAGGGTGTGAAGAGGAACGCGCACAAACAGGGAACGGTTGGAAGCCAGGCTTATACTCATTCTGAAGCACATGTACTAAAGCAAATGCAGTATTCAATGAGGTGAGCTGCTTGCATTTCAGCCCTGAGGCTGTCAGCCTGGCACTTCTACAAGCTCTTTGAAATATCGAAGGACTGTCTCAACCTTCTCTTTTTTTGCTTATGTCTGGTGGATGCACAATGCACCGAAATCACTCTGTGCAAAGGAAAGGGTGCGAGCTGAGAACGTCAGTTGTGCCTGAGCCTGCAATGACTCCATAACCAGAGAGGGAAAAGGAAGTCTTCAAAAAGTCTTCTCTGCTTCGAGACTGGCCATCTCCGACTCTGTAGGATTCTAGAGGCTATGCTGGAGAAAGAGCTACTTGGATTACGAGGCTCATCAAAAAAACACAGATGACCACACACTTCAACCCAAAGAGAAAACGAGAGGTTTCAAATGCATTCTCCATTCATTTCTCATTTAATACAAGCGCGGACAGAAAAGCAGGTAAGACCTTGTAGACACTTCCATCTGCTTACAAACCAAAAGGTGAATCACTCCTATTCTGCTTGCTCAAATAAATCCTTGTTTAGGGGCCTTAAAAACCATGCTGGAGCAACGAGGCGAGTCCGCTTCAAAAGGGAGGGAGGAAACAGCATTTCGCCATGTTGCCTTTTCAATATAATCAACATGTTCACAAAATAGGTTTGATTTGTAATACAAAAGTAAAATTGTTCGCTCCACACTTCTAAATTAAAATCACAAGGGAAAATAAACTTTTCGACCAGAGACCCTCCTGCTTTTCATATCACTCAACCCTTCCTCCTTTCAACACAATATGCAGAAAGCTTTTACTTTTAAATTGTATCCATGATACTTTGGAGGATTAACACACAGGAAAAGAAGGAAAAGGCATATTGCGCTCCCCGCCCCCAACATGGCACGTAAGTGTCCAACTCACATTGAAAGATGCTTAACCTGCCATGAAGTTCTCCCCTAAGCCATGCCCCCATGTACCAGATTTCAGAGTTTTCCTGAGCACATGCAGAATTCACAATTTATAGAATTCCATGCATGTCTTAATCTGTACTCTTTAAAAAGTGTGTTTTGAGAGGTATGAAGTGTATTTATAATATTCAGCAAGTGTGGAATATGCTGCCCCGTCAGATCTCGGGATTCCCCCTCCCGCTTCCCGAGGAAGAGGAATGAAGGGGAAAAGCAACATGGGGACATTAAAAAAAAGGGGGGGGGCAAGAAACAATGACATTTTGTTTAGCACTGACCGATAGGATCCAAGGATCCTTACTTATATAAAACCCTATGTAAGTTGAAGAAGTCATTCATGACTCGACTCAAATCTCATGGTCTCCTTTATTATCCTAGACTATTTTTTTTTAAATTTTATTTTAATTTTCGTTAAATATACCTCCGCAGGGCACAATCACATACAATCAATACGATTGGTAAATTACACGAGCTCTATCCCAAGCATATATGCACCAATGTAAAAAGTTATTTAAAAAAACAAAAACAAACGAAAAAATAAAATAAACTCCACCCAAAAAGGTGATAATGACGGTAGAATGTCTCGGGGAGACTGGTATGAACCAAAGAAAACTAGGTTTACAAATAAAGTATTTCTGTAGAGAAATCCCACAACTGGAAACAGTTAGGTGGCTTTTAAAGTGGGAATGCATGTGGTTGTGTGCTCTGTCTCCACTGAATGGAAGAAAATGGGGACAGAGCTCTTCACATTACTGTCACTGGTTATCAAAAGTAGAAAAAAAAAAATCAATCAAGCTACAGTGTAGCTGTTAAGCTGACCTTCAAGGAAAGCGCCTCTTCGTACAGAGGTTGCTCACCTGGCAAGCAGAAGCCTCAGGGAAGGCAGAAATTCCTTACGCTAGTAAAGCTAAAGTCCCATTATTGGCTATTTTGTCCACGTTGCAGCCACCCACTTAGAGGCTGCAAAGGAATGGCATAAAAATGATGAACAATGGATCAGCTGTGTTGCTTGGGGGGTTATTTCTCCTTTCTGGATTCAAGTTGATCTCTGGATGCACAGAAAGCTTCTGCCACCTCTACTAAAAGCTAGAAAGGAGCTCACTGCACAGGTCCAGTTGTGGGATCCATCCAGTACACAATCTGGTTTGGATGCCAAAGACTTGTATTATCTGCCACAAATTATTAACAACTTTAATATTACAGAGAAGCAAATGATTTTTAGTTTATACCATAAACATCAAATACACCAGAGGATTTTGGTTTTTTTAGTTACAGATACATATACATATTTCAGTGTATCTAATACTTCTTTCTTATCAGGGATTGCATCTCCCTTTGGTTGTACTTTCCCCAAGACCAAAACCAAAACCAAAAAAAAAAAAAAAACCACCCACCAAACCCCCAAAAAACCCCAACCCAACACAAAAACAAAACAACCAGATGCCCCAAACACCTTTTTCCTATTTTTAAGTTGATACTACTGTGTTTTCCTTGTGGGCCCAAACTTTCCTTGCAGGAGGAACCAGTGGAAAACCCCCCCAAAACTTATACATCTCCAGATCTATCAGGCAAAGATGTCCAGAATTTGGTAGCTGGAACTCAGCACCTGAATGGAAGATGCCTGATTTTCAGAGGTGCTGAGCGGCTGCAGGTCCCACTGGACTGAGAGAGGTTAACTTTCCAGAAGCTACCGGAGCTCAGCAGCACTGCAGGTCAGACCCCTTATTCGGGTGGCTAAATTGTTAACATCCAACTCTGGACATCTTGGCCACGGTGTTATAAAGTTTCACCTGCACTGGGAAGCAGTTGAGGAGGAAGTCCAGTGTACACAGAGGAAGAACCAAATTGTTCATGCACTCCATTAGAATGTAACAAAGAAAGTGGAGATGTTTTGGAAATCGTATTCCTCATTCCCATGGCATGAAACCACTCTCACTACTGATACAATCATTTAAAAAAAAAGGTCACATTAATATTCCCTTCCCCTCCAATGAAAAGTCCCATCTACATCACAACAACCAGTTGCTTCCAAAGGTGAGGCATGATCAGACACATTTAACACCTGGTTTTGACTACAATGTAGAACCTGTGTCAGGTGCCTCTATTGGAATAAGGCCTCCAGACTACTTGACTGGTGTCCTGCAACACTTGAGCCTCTTTCCGGTATGTGCCATTTTGTGTCAATGCAAGTAGTAGATGACAGCAACATTCCAGCATCTGTGTTTAATATTTATATTAAATTTGCCAGAAGAGCAAATCAGTTTCAATGTCATACGGACAATCTTGGCCCTGTACTCACATACTGCAAAGGACACAAAATGTCACTTATCTGCACAAAGGCTGTGTTTAGAAGGTGGCTCAGATGTGCCGACTCAAATTTAGCATGACAGGCTTTTCACCAATTCAGTGTGTGAATCACTACTCTGAATAAGACAGCGGAAGCATGTCACTCTGATAATATTCGTTTATACATCTCTTAACTGTCTCACAGCTAATACTGCCGATATTGGGCAGTGGGGCAGAAAGTGTACCTATTTTAGAGACGAGTGGAGGAGAAGGGAATCAATATAATGGCAAGTTATGGAGGTGAAGTCATGCCACAGTTATTCTGCCTGCTCATTTGAATGACTCTAGGTACTTTTCTCACAGCTCTTCCAATGATTTTTCCCCTTTATTAAACACAGAGGAGACTAACGGGCAGCACTGCTACTCAATGCCCCCGTTTTTAGTACTGAATTTATTGGGCTTTTCTCTTAATCTTATCAAGTACTCCCTCTTCAAAATACTGCCCTGAGGTTTGGTACTTATCACTGACCTGTGGCGGTCAGGATACTTTTAAAAGCACCACACTTTTGTGACTGGGAACAGCAAGAAGTGGAGAGTTTTCCCCGATTATTTTTGCTATTTAGGAATTCCCCTCTCAATTTCAAAAGTTAAATCTGCAAGAAATTTAAGCAAACTCCTGTGAAGTAGTTAAAAAAGGGCACGTGTCAAACTCAAAGCCCAATTCTACTCCTTTGCAGTTCAGTGAGTTGGTCACAGATATCAAATACCTATCATCAGTAGGCATGTTGTGCAGTACTTGATTTAAAGCCATGGTACAGCTGGACAGGAGTCTTGTCAGTCTCACTGGACACTCTTATAAGTCAGCAAAGATTCACATTTGCAGCAAACTAGTTTTTAGATATTTTAAATCCAACAGGTTAATCATGGATTAATTTTTATAAACATGGCTTTTTGAATGATGTAAACCTTTAAAGTCCCTCCTCCGTTATCTGTAAATTAGCGGAGTGCATGGGAGTGGATGAAAGAACAAGTATGACAGTTAGAAGACTCCAAATATATTAGGTGCTTAAACACACCTTTTTTAAATTGCGTAACTAGATGAACTGATGACTTACCACCATTTAACGTAGGATTAAGGCTTGATAATCATTAACTGTGCAAACTGCTACCAGGAGAATACAGTCAACTCACAAAGTTCTACAAAGATTTGACAATCAAAACAGCTCATTGAGGGGGGAAAAAGTGAAAAGAATGAAGCACAAGTCTTTGGCTCTCCTTTAAAGAAAAACAGCAGTTTACCATGTTTATACAGACCCCCTGTTTGCCTACCAGTAGGGGCAATATCACATTTGTGCATCACTGAGTAATAACACCATTAGAAAAGGCAACTTCACAGAAGTTATTGGCTAAGCGAATTCATTTGAATGCTCGGTTTTGAAGCAGCAAGCTGTCACTGTTGCACGATCAGGGAGGATGATGGGCAAGCCAGAGGGAAGAGAGGGGTGGACTGGAGGGAGATCACAGGGGCTAGCAGAAACCAGGCAGCTGAAGAAGAATTTGAGGTTAAAGTGGTAACAGCATTAAATGTATGAAAGGTGCTCAGATCCACAGGACTCTGATTTTGAAATGGGGCAGGGCAGCCTACAAACTGCTAGAAGATAAGCATATAGAAATCTCTCATTAAAATGAGGAACTGGGGCACGCGCAAGAAGGAACAAACCCACGATACTATAGAAAAAATGAGATTTTGTTTATATTCCTAACTGGTCACCTATTTGTGTCTGGCATCGTAAAGCTCAGCCTGCTATCTGAAGCGCCTCGTTTTTAGGGCTCTGTGCACACGATGGTTGAAACTGCGAGCCACAAGCATTTACAAGGTTCCATCTACACCAGCAAGTCTGCCCGACTAGTCATACAACATGACAGCACCCCAACCGTGTCCCAACAGTGCTCTCGCTAGAGTACATGGGACCAAGCCAGGCTGCAGCAGTTTCATTTAACCCAACTGGACAGTGGTCGGGTTTCATAGGGACAGGAACAAGCCACAAATGAGTGAAGCAGCAAACATAGCTGGTCACGGGAATTTAGGTTGTCTGCTTTAACAATCAATCCTTACCCCTGAAGAGTATTGGGTGCTCTCAGTTCTGCTGGCAGGATTTTTCCACAGAAAGTGGATTTCGGGTACTGTCTTCATTAAGATTTAAAGCCTTTTTTTCTGGTTCTGAAACCCTATTTCACTGGTTGTATCACCTACACTTCTCTACAGAAACACAGGGAAAGGGCAAAAGCAGGAGAAAAAGGAAACAAAGCCAAAATCAATAAGGTATGAACATATTAAACAGGCAAGCTAAAAAGCCAAACTACAATGTTAAACAAACAGGGCATTCACCTGGAGAGACTGATCACAACAAGGACACAAAAAGTACAGGACACAAAGGAGCGGGGGATAACACTGAGGTACTCTAACACATTGCTTTAGGAGCATTTATCCTCGTTGACCTACATGTACTGGTTTGAGCAGTTCTTACTATAGAATTCCCCCTCCCTGCAAAAGTTAGAGAGAAAAAGGTCAGTTCTGAACTGCAAATAAAATTAGTTGGCACAACAGATAACGGATCATTTTTTCCCCCTCCTTCCTCCAGATTTTCTTCCTACAAATTTTAATTATTTTACGTAAAGCAATTTTTTCTAGTCAGAAGTAAAAAATAAGACACCTGGCCTTCTGCACTTGCCCTCCTAGCTTAGAATACTGCTCGAAATCATCTCAACTAAAACGAGCATGTGTTAATATAAACAGCAGAAAAAAGTTTCTTAAAAATAACGTCGTCAAGGCTGAGCAGGTGATGGTCTCTGCAGTGCAGGAGTCCAGCCCACAGCAGCATGCTGCCAACCAGTGCACTGAGCTCATCCCAAGAGGGAGAAGGATGGAAAACAAATGACACTCTCTCAGGGAAGTCAGCCTGGTCCTCTTGAGCGGGAAGGACAGAGGCTATGATCAAGGAAGGTGCAAGGTGTAAACATGTACCACCAGTAGAAAAAAAAAAAAAAAAAAAGGGAGCGGG